TAGCTGGAAGGCACTGCTCGTGTGTCCTGCTAACTGTGACCTCTGCCTCACGTTCCAGGCTATAGAGAGCGCAATCGGCGGCAATGCCTATCAGCACAGCAAAGTCAATCAGTGGACCACAAATGTCGTAGAACAAACTTTAAGCCAACTCACCAAGCTGGGAAAGCCATTTAAATACATCGGTAATGCACCTTTGCTTCTCGTACATACCGTGGGTGGTTCTTGAAATAGTGCCGAGAGGAGTACTTGCTCTGGCGTCCGACCTCAAAGCGCGTGCCCGGTAGGGGCAGCTCGCCAGGTTGTGTGCGTTACCAGCCAGCCGGCCTGTTGGGCGGCTGCAACAGTTGCAGGGCACCCATCACAGGGGTTCCCAGCACCTCACACCCGACGCATTTAGAGCAGGCATGGGGGGAGGACAAGGGAAGGCTGTGGCATGTCACTGTCACGGGGCCAGTCTACCCTGGCAACCGTTCCCATGAACCCCTACCCTGGGATCCACCCCGGAATGCTGAAAGTAGGCTGACAGGAAGGTGTGTTCCCGGTAGGTTTCTCTAATAAACGCCTGTTTTCATTGAAGTGACCTGTGTGATTATGCAGAAGAACGGAGCGGGCTTACACACGGCCAGTTCCTGCTTCTGGGACAGCTCTACTGATGGTATGGTTTTCCCTGTGTTCCCTGAACGCTTGTCATGGGCCTTGTGCTGAAGCCTCTGTGGCGCCTCCTCGACCTTGCTGAGATCTAGATTCTTCCAGGCAGAGTTTTCTGAAACATGCTTGGCTGTTTCAGGTCTTTGAATGCATGCTTATCAGAGTCACCCGTTGACACATTTTATAGAGCAGAGTCTGAGCGGCCTTCTTTATTCGTGTGCCGTAAAGAAGTCTGAGAAGTCAGGACGGCGAGCCCCCGCGTCCCCAAGTTGAGGGCCATGCCTTCTCCCCACAGGCAGCTGCACCGTGCGGTGGGAGAACAAGACCATGTACTGCATCGTCAGCGCCTTCGGGCTGTCCATCTGAGCCTCCTGCGTCTGCGCGATCCTCCTCTCCCAGCGGCCCGTGGGGGTCCAGTGAACACCCTTCTCCTTCTCTTCAAGCGTTTCTCGTGGCACCCACGACGTTGACGACGGCCAGGTGACTGCCCTGTTCTGGGAACAGCACAGCCACGTCCGAGGACGGTCACCCTAGGTGCTCAGGCCTGTGCCGCCACCCGTCTTAACTCTGTTTCTTTTCAAAGGTGCTAAAAACTGAAATCTGCTAGTTTAAAACTTTCTCTACTCTCTGGATGACTCAGATACACTAATTTTCCATACTTTGTACTTTGGTTAGAATAATAAATTATTCCACTTTAAAGTTTGTGTTTTTCTTCATAGTCTAAACAATACCATAAACGAGTTCTTCAGATTTCACTAGTGACTTTAGAATCTAAAACTGCAAAAACAAAAAGGAAAAGTTAGAATTTGGTGCTGGTTCTCACCACTGCAGGATGTGCTGCTTTGACCGTCAGGCCCGGGACCGTGTGGCTTCCTGCTGCAGCCAGAGCTCTCGGCTGTGCACGCTGCCCGGGCCGTGGCGCGGCAGCTTCTGCCCCAGTGTCCCCGCTTGTCAGCAGCAGCCCTCCAAAAATGTGTTTGTTTGTACTGCAGGGCTTCCACAATCATTTTGTGTCCACAGTTAGGCCCTTATTTATAAATCAGCAACCACGTTGGGAGGTTATTTGATTTAAAGGGGGGGAGGTGAGCCCCAAGCCCCAGTCTGTGACCTCACCTTCAGTGCTCATTCACGGGCCACGTTCACATAGGAATAAAGACACGCTTCTGTGTCCACTTGCTGAAATCACGAAAGCTCTACTTTTGGCCCTAAAGCACTCATGCCTGAATGGCCAAATGAACTCCACACACAGGAGCAAATAAATCACGTAAGTAAGGATCGAGTATGTAAAATATATTAACATGTACCAGAAAGGAAGTTTCAGAATGAAGCCATTTCCAAAGTGTTAAGTTTGCCATAAATAAACATTTATTCACTTTTGATTGATTACAATGATCATTCTGTGATCAGGGGTTACTGTGCTCATGGACACAAGTTCCAAGATCTACTACATAGTTCTATCTTTCCTTTTGAACTTTAAAGTTGTTTTTATTTTACAAATACAGTCTTTTTGTAAAAAGGCAGTTTTCAGTAGCAGAAAATTCTGTTTCACTGTGTGGTATTAATAGTTACCAGTATATCGAAAACATGTCAACATGAACAGTATAACAGGATGTCACAGACTAAAGCGACTTCCCTTGGGCCTGGGGAAAAGATTTGTAGCTTTTTTCCCCAAAAGTCTAACCTCTAAGGCAACTGGTTTCTAAAATCCTCAAAATGCATAAGTATTCTTTAGTGACCTAACTCGTATTCGCTAGATGTCCCTTTTCACCATCCTGTCTATGAGCTTCCATGGTTTTCCCTGTGAGGATTCTAGGAAATAAGTCACTGACCATACTGCAACCGACTTAACACAACTGTAGCTTCAGTAAATAGTTCATGGAATGCTTGAGGCTGGTGACAGTTGTCTTGTAACCTGCCCCTTTAGTGGGCTGGGTTTACATAATGTATCTAAACTTTTATTGCAATCTGTAATTATGTACAGGAACAATCTTACAAACCTTGAATATATTTTATATATCCCCTTCTCTAGCCTTTCAAATGGGGCTTAAGAGAGAAAACTGCATCACTTCACTGCTGTAATGATTTAATAATAAATCAAGCAGACCTATTACCCACACGGATAATGATGCTCTCCCTAGGGAAGCTGAAATACGTTCGGTCATCTTCCAGGTTCCCCTAGACTGGACCAGTGTAAAAAATTATCCCAAAGATGATGTTATTCAAGCCTTTACCATGGGAGAACTAAAGTCAGCCCTTTGAATTTACAACCGAAGTTTGCAAAATTGAGACTCTCCAAGAAAAAAACAATTTTCTTGCTACTGTCTAAAGTTTCCGGCAGACTTTAGTGTGTTAACCTAATACCTACAGCATATATACTACATGCTAAATGCTATATACTTTAAGCAAATTTTTACATGGAGTACATAATATGTTGATATATATGATATACCAGAGACAAGACTGAAAACGCACGATTTAACAAGAACCATTTTCCCCTTACACACTTCCTTTTATAATTTTTTTGTTTCCAACTTAGTTACAAAAAGGAAATAAATACTCCCATATTTTCATTTCAGTGACTTGATGCCATGAAGAATCAAGTATGAAGATATCCATCAGCTTATAATATAATTACACTATAGAACAAAGACAAGTTTTAAAAAAAGTTCTAATGTGTATGGCTAAATGCCTCGAATAGTTTACATTTACTGATAAATAACAGCATTCCAAATTACGGACATTTAATAATGATTAAAACTTGTAAACTATATCACATATTAGAATACATTAATCACAAGTTTTCATCAATTTACATAAAATTAGTAGAAGCTGAAAAATTTGGTTAACAGAAAAATTTTTCCAATACCTTGAAGTACACAGAATCAAAAAAAGTAATCACACCATTGAAAATGTAAAAACCATGTAAACTTGAATTACCCTTGCAATAATACAGTTGTTTTAATTCAAACTTTCATAATTACAAGGTTTTAAAAACAAATGGAATCCATATTAAAGGTACTTTATCATTAAAGTTTAAACAGATGTTAAGTCATAATGAGAAGTCTCTCATGAACCTCTATAAGGGCCCAGCCTTACCTAAAGTGGAATACAATTTTTAGCAATTTGAGAGTTAATGCATAGATGAAGAAAACGTAGGTACTGCTTGCAGAGCGGAACAATCCTATCCTACGCACTGCATCTGCCCAGACGCCATCCATTAGGATGTTAGCCGTGACGGTACGTTAACGGTTCAAGAGAGACGTCATTGTCAGAGGAAAAGGAAAGGAGATACCAGACTTCTACACTTAGTCTTTGACATAAAGGAACTGGCAACTCTCCAGGGCCTTCTATGATGCCACAGATTCAGCAGCTCGAGACAACTTTTCTCTTCCAGAGCAGGCCCTCCTCTTCCCTGGCCACTGGAGGGCGGGGCATGCTTCCCAGCAAGTGACCTTCTACCCCAAGATGTGCTTCCACAAGTCATCGAAAATGTTTCACTTTCTTTCATCTAGGCTTCAAATGTGAAACTGTAAAACTTTTTCACAATAAAGAATCTATAATATATCCTTTGTTTAGCTTTTATAAAAAAAAATAATAAAGTTCCCTGGGGTGTCATCTCTAAAGGAGTTGTAGAAATGATAGCTTGTGGGAACTGTAGCAGATACCCTCTTCCCCAACCCAACCACAGCGACATCCGTTCACGTTCTGATATGCACCGCTCACATGCCACACGCGTGTGTACACAGCTCTTGGAAAACCATGGCAGCAGGACCTCTCCCCGGGCTGGTGCTTGTCAGTTACCTTACCCTTTCCTTATGAATCTCAGCCAGTCCTCCTCGGACCCCCACAACACAAATTCTGCCCGGTGGCCGTGAAGGGCTAGAACCTGCTCGCCCACCATTTCCCTAATAAGTTATTACTTAGGCATTTCACACAAGAGACAGGAGGTACTACTCACCCAGGATGCTTGGTTACCCAGAGCACTCAAGGGGGAAGGAATGCCCTTGTGAGACAGACACAAAAATAGGCTTCCCTCTGAGTTTAAAGGGCTGAAGCTGGTACAGGGCAGGGAAGAAGGGAGAACGCCACCATGCTGACGACCTCATTCATAGGGCTTTCCATGGACTCAGAATTAGCAGATTATTAAAAAAAAAACAAACATAACTCTACTAAAAAGAGGAGTAATTACCTCCTCACCACTAAAAATGAACTCTCTCATCTGAAATCCGGAAAAGGGATTTGGCTGTTTACACTTATCAGCGCCTCTCTTCCCAAATGCAGCCACTCTAACAATACATTTGGCCCAATGTTTAAATTTCTCCTTGGTTTTGGTTTTCCTTTAAAAAATACGTAAACAAAGAAGGACCAGAAAATCTCTGCTTATGAGACAAGCCTGAACACCAGCAGGGGCGGGGAAGGCCAGGAAGCGGCGCTGCGGGAAAGCGTCGGCCCGGCCCGCCAGCGGCCCGGAGCTCAGTCGGTCTCCGAGCCCTCCTTGTACTGTGCCCGGATGGCCTGGCCGTTCTGCAGGGGCATTTCTTCATAGTCACTCCTGTCACAAAAGAGACCCTTGATGCCATTTGGCTTTTGACAGCTCCTCTTCTGTTCTTCTCTTCCACAATGACAGGCCCTTTTAGCAAGAAGGCAGTTCACAGCTCCGCACTCCCCGCTTCTACCGCCCGCTGCTCCTGCCCGCTCCTCACCCCCCACCGAGCACCAGGGCCCGTCGCCGGGAGAACTGCTCCTCCTGTGCGCACCACCCATGCTCGTCAGAACGTGAAAACACAACCCCGTGGGATCACAGAACACCCCCAGGTGAAAGAAATGTCATAACGCCTTGAAAATCACTTTAGAATGATTAACAGCCTGTTGAGTGAATGCACAAAACCAGGCGGAACGCTCACCATAGACAGCCTTCAGAGAGGCAGGGACTTACCCATAGATCACATCATCGTCAGAGTCATTCAGCATGGAGAATGCAGGGTTGTCTTTCAGCTGGGACTCTGGAAGCCAACAAAAGCATTTTTATGTGATTAGCCCGGGGAGGCAAGATGCTACTGGGAAAGGACAGGAGTCCGAAAGAGCAGGATTCAGATCCCAGCTTCCACCAATTATCTGTGTGACCTGAACAAATCTCGCTCCCGAGCCTGTTTCTCACATTCAAGCCGGAGCAGCATCACTACTTGGCAGGCTGCTGGGCAGACCGCATGGTGGAAGCGCCCAGAGCAGAGAGGCTCCAGGAGGAACCCTCCAACGGCAGCTGTGATCCGGCTACGTTCTCCCAAGTCCACGTGGGTAGCAGGGGCAGAAAACGCCCGGGAGACCAGAGGCGCCCGCCCTGCTCCCTCCCACCCCGGAAGGAAGCAAGCCACTCGGCCTCATTTCTTCATCTCAGGAGGGACTAACTGCATCTTCATCACAGAGCTGCTGTGAGGCTCGAGTGGGACCTCTTCACGAAAGTGCTTTGAGAACTCACACAACACGGAAGTCAGGCAGTGGGCCTGAAACGCTACACCCCTGCCCAAGTTCCAGGAAGTTCCCGTCCTTTTCAGCCTGTGTGACAGTCTGGCTCTTCTTATATTCTGGCTTTCTCTGAATGGCCATGGCATGAGCATGCAACAGACCTGGCTTCACACGGCTGAGGGACGCGCTTGTGCCGGGACCCACTACAGGAACCACTGTTCCCATCTTGTGCTGTAAATGACACAGCACATGCTATGTTCTAACTGCCCTGCAGCTTACCTCGTCTCTCTGTGCTAGGGTTAGGGGAACCCGGAATGTGGGTCCTGAACTGCTGTGAAGCCATCTGGCCAGCAACCCAGCCCCAGGGTGGCTTACCATACAGGGCGTTCTTCGATGGAGAATACACAAAGGCCAAAGTGTAGAGGTAAAAGTTCAACAAGCCATAGAAAGATAAGAATTCAGCTGGTGATACTGGTCAAGGGAAATCAGCAGCCCCGGAACCCTACGTATTTGGACATTTCAGCTGGGGTCTTTGCTTTCAGTCTGGCTGCTCCTTCTAACCACCAGCAGTCCTTTCCACTGCTCACCACCAGCGAGGACCTCGGGGTTCCACGGCCCAAACAGCAGGAACCCCACAGGGCAAGCCCACAGCCAAAGGTTACAATAACCTTTCGAGGTCACCTGTAAATAACAGGTGCACCGTGCTCTTTTCTATCCATGGAAACCTCTGGAGGTGGCAGGATCTGATGTGATCAAGTTACTCACAAAGGGCAGGAGGGCCGTGCACACGTATGGGTAGAGAATGAAATCAAGAACTGGAACCGTCTCTGAAACCAGTCGTTCTTCATCTTTCCTGCATTACAGACCCCTCTGAGAAGCTGAGAAAAGGTTAGTGTGAAATCCAGCCACTAAAATTTGAAAAATCCTGCATTACTTCTAAGGATGTAAGAAGCCCCAAGGAAAGAAGCTAAGATATAAGGGATCAACTCTAAAGCGCCCTCTGATGGACGCCATCACTGAAAGGAGGAGTGGCACGCTCTGTCAGAGGCCAAGCATCTGAAGGGGGGTTTAGTGGACAAGGAGCCCGTCCCACGGGTCTCAGGCACACTCAGGAATCGAAGGACATCCTGCTACCTTATGAGCCTTTTCTGGGGACACAGGCTTAAACTGCCCTAATCAGCACAACCTGTGGACACTGCAGCTGGATACATCTGGGTGATGGGGAGAGAGGACTCTCAAATCGGGCTCAGCCTCCCCCTCAGTGCTCTGTGGGGAGAACAGGCACCTCGGACTGATGCAAGGTTCTGAATGGAGCTTGGGTTCCCGAAGAATCCCCAGGGACCGGAGAGCAGGGTGGTGGGGAGAGCAGCTGGGGAGTGTGACCCCCTCGGGACCGCTTCGCCCTGCCGAGCCTGAGCTGCTGCCCACGGGGCTGGGCCGTGGTGAGGCCCGCGGCACACAAGGCACCACAGTGTGGTGACCTGCCTCTTCTTCATGTCTGCAGCCCTGACACGCTAACCACCCCATGCAGAGCGTGGTCCTGAAGGCTGAAGGCTTCCCACTGAAAGGATATAATTCTGGTAGTGAGTTGACAGTTCAGCTACAAAATTGTCTTGTAATACTTGTGCTCCAAACCTTAAATAAAGGATGACGATGCTGAAAAAAAGGGGGAGGGGCAATAAGTAAACAGAGATGAGGAAATGGCACTAGCTTCACAGAACTCATTCCGTTCGCTACGATTTCCGCACGGACCCGCGAGCACTCCCGGGCCTGCGAGAGCACATGCGCACACGCACGCAGCACCCCCGCCTCGGGCGCGTGGTCTCAGAGTCAGGAGGGCCGTGCTGGGGCAGAAGCAGCTAACCATGACACCGACCATGTCGCAGCCCCGCATCAGGGGCCCGGAAGCGCCCCATAGGCACATCCTTCCCTTCTCGCACTGCCTTAGATCTCATTTCCACGACCAACTCCTACCACAAATGACAAGGCCCTGAGGAAGTCACATTTCCCTCCTCGGGCTCAGCGATTCTCACAGTGAGGAAGCATGGCACCTCTGTTCAGACACCCGCCTGCGGATACATGAGGACAGAGGTTCTGAGGACACGGAGCTCCACAGCCGACGCGGCTCTCCCCTGAACAACTCCACAGCTTCCAAATCAGCACCCCGCGCTCCGCTCCCCTCCCTGTGGTCCGCTGTCCACAAGGACCAAGACCGACTGCTAACAAAAACACAAATCGGAGACCTTCACCTCCCGGCTTTGATCCCTCCCAAGGGTTCCTTCCCATCACCGAAAATAAACTGGGACTCCAACTGGCGGCGTGCAGGGCCCGACCTCACCTCTGCGGGGGCCACCCTCCCTTCACATCCTCACCTCCTGGGACACTGCTGTCCCCATGTGTCTCCAGGGCTCCTCCCTCAGGCCCCAGGCCAGTGTCCCCTCCTCAGAGAGATGCCCCCTCCAGTCCCTGTTTATTTTTATTTTTTTTTTAAAGATTTTATTTATTTATTTGAGAGAGAGCGAATGAGAGAGAGAGAGCACGAGAGGAAAGAGGGTCAGAGGGAGAAGCAGACTCCCCGC